TTGACTCGCGACTGGACACTTTAACCCCTTAACATGTACGCTCGAGTTAATTCGAGCGCGCTAAACAGGCAAAACTGTGCACATTCGAGATAATTCGAGCGGCGTTGTATTTTATGCTGCTGTAATCTTTCACGCTCGAATATAATCGAGAATTGAAAGTAACGACGTGAAAGCAAAGAAAAAAAAATCGTTTTATTGATATTTATCATTTACATGGGATTGCAAGCTATAACATTTATTTATTCAAGAATAAAATATAGCCTTTTTCCATGGTACAAAAGCGCAGTATTATTATTATTATTATTATTATGATTTATGTTGCAAAAGTATAAATAAATATTTTTACTGATAAAAATGTTTTTTCCGAAATAGCAATTCGAAAAGAAACATAAAAAAAGGTCGATGTACGTGTAACATTGCAATATTCGGCTCTTCTCTGCGATATGGATCAAAATCCAAAATTAAAATTGAAATTTGGATTATTTTTGTATTTTCATTTTTATTTTTTTGCCAAGACAATGTTCTAAATTGTGTTTCTTTACGTAAAAAAAAAAATCGATTTTTCTTGGCCGGTCTTTTTCGAAAAAACTGTGCGTTAAGGGGTTAAAAAGCAATTATTTTGCAAACGATTTTTCCGGCCGTCGATAAAATTCGTCGTGATTTCGGAAATTACATTCGCGATCGAAAAATGCACGAAATATCGAATGAAAATTCAGTGAAATGCGTTTTACGCCATCGGACGACGACGAGTAAATTCGAAGGCATTCCGGAATTTCGAGAAACGGCAGGCAGCGATCCGAGCCTGTTTTGCAACGTGTTATCTCGTTGTTTATGCAAAGTATTTAGAATTGGCAGGGCAGCGGGCGTGGGACGTCGCGCCGAAATAAAACGGCGAACGGTTCCGCCGATAGAAGCGGACGATTTATAGGAAGTCGCGAGGCGGATTTCTGACGCAAGCGGGCCGCCCGGCGACGAACCGCCAAGATGGTACCGTTTCGCCCCATCATGCGATCCGGTATTTACTGGCCGCGCTCGTCGCTTCCATCGGAATTAAGCCGAGTCGTCGCCGCCGCGGGGGGCATTATTTATGAATTGGTATGCGTCCGTTGATAACCTATATCGAACGCGCCCGCGAAATCGTATATTTCTGCGTCGGCGACCACCTTGTCCGCGCAGATTAAGGTAACGTCGCAGCAGTGCGGATCGGTCCGGCTTGTCCCTCGGCTTGTTCGTAATTTCCCGCGGAGGTTCAATTCGTCGCTCGTATTTCTCCGAACGAGACGTTGTCGCTCGAGATGGAATTTGATAAATAAAGATAACGTCTTCTTCTCTATGGTCGCTCTCTATTTCCAGACCTATTTCCCCTAGAGGCTTCTTCCATCGGCCGCTATAATTCACGGCGGAGACGACATCGAGGAAAAGGGGATTAATAAATCTGGGGAGATCGAGAGATACGTCTCCCCTTTACCCTACGATTCCTTGTCGTCGATGTCTCCGAATTCGAATATTTTCCTCGTTAATTGCTCCGTTTCGGGCTCGCGGTTTTCCTGGCCTTCCTCGTCGATTGTTCTAATCCGCGAGCGATCGAGTGATCCAGGAACGTGGAACTCGTCGCCGATGATCCAGAATCGAAACACATTTTTTTTTAGATTATTTGTCTCTGAATTCGAATATTTTCCTCGTTAATTGCTCCGTTTCGGGCTCGCGGTTTTCCTGGCTTTTCTCGTCGATTGTTCTAATCGGCGGGCGATCGAGTGATCCAGGAACGTGGAACTCGTTGCCGATGATCTAGATGCACTTTTCTTTTAGGTTATTTTATTTGTAGTTTGTTCGCTGGACCGCGGATTTTTGTGCGAGATAAAAATCGTCTGCATCGACTGCAAGCGGCTAAACGCGCGTTCGCTTTTCTCGTTTATAATTTGAATAAGTACACGGTGTTTTGTAAATTCGTTAAATAACTTTGCTATTTTGCATTTGACCAGTTAGCTGCGGCGCCTCCGATGATGATATAATTAATAATTCGTAAGATTTGCGGCCGAGATAAGTAATCGAGCGATCTAGAAATTCAGAGGCACGTGCTCTCTCATTTCTAGTGGCTCTTTTCTTATCCACAATGGTCGATCATTCAGATTCACATTTTTAAATTTAGAGCTACATTTTTTTTAGGGTAATATAGTAAATAATAATGTTCGTAAATAAATCCTTTTTCCACGCTCGTAGCCACGACGCGAGATTTATTCGGAGGAAATCGAAACTGTTCTTAACCCTTTGCACTCGGGTGGAGTGGTGAGACCCTGAGGCACCATTAAAATTTGTTATATAAATTTGTTTTATATTAACAAAGCTTAGATTTAAAAGATTGTCGAAAGTGTAACTGTTCTGTGAGCCACAAAGTTCAACTTCATATGCATAAAATACATTTTGTCATATAAAATGAAAATACTATAAATCAGAAAAATTATTACAGATCTACTTCGAGTGCAAAGGGTTAAAACGAAGCTCGTCGGTAATATCGTCGCGCCTATTCGAAGGATCCAATTATAGCGAACGAATTAGCTGGAGCGAACTGACTCTTCCTACCGACTTCGTCATTCATTGGGACTGTTTATTGGTATTTGGAAGGACCACATTTTTGCTGGTATTTGCAAGGACCATGGTCCTGCTGACAATGGGCAGGATCACGTCAATACAAAGGAAAAAGTTGCTTCAAATCACCTCAGGAATCTCCCATAGAGGCCCATTCTTGGACCTAACTGCTCGATACCTGGCCTATTGTTATTTTCGCGCCACGTCCGAATATTAAAAAGCACGGACTTTCTCAATGGCATTGTAACGACTCGGTCGTTACAAAGGTATATTTTCCTAAGCCTTTACCGTTGTCTATTTAATCGTCAAGGTTGTAATGTAATCAGCTGATATCTGAGAGCATAGAGAACTCGTCGGCAATAATCTAGAACCGAAGCAAACGATTGTTGCATTTTTCGCGCACGCTTTCTCCAGGTTTTCCTGTTGTCTCGACGCCGTAGATTGGTAATTAAGTAATCTCTATAGATAGAGAGATACGTGCACTCTCTCTCTCTCTCTCTCTCTTTCATTTCTAGTGGCTCTTTTCTTATCTCCGCTCGTCAATAATACAGATCTTTCTTTCAGATTTTTCATTTATATTTAATTCAAGTTTTCCTGTTGTCCGATCACCGTTGATAAGCAATTAATCGAGCGATCTCGAGAGATACAGGGACACTTCCTCGTGACTTGTCGCACAATAATCTCGGATTAAAACAGCTGATTTCCTGCTTTCTATAGTTTCTATTTTCTTTCAATTTTCCTGTTAACTGTTTGAGCAATTGATAAGCAATCTCCGGGCATGTAAAAGCACTTCCTCGTTTCTAGCGTCGCTTTCCTCGTTCCTTGTCATCGGTGATCCGCGATTCAAACAACAAACTTCCTTCGTTCGTAATTCACATTTTCCTCAAGATTTTGGGTCGTCGTTCGTCTCGTCGTCGAAAACGAGCGATTCAATTAATTTGGAGATACAAAGATGGTTCTTTCATAACGCCAGTTTTGTCCTATAACTTTTCTTCGCGGCCGACACGTTGGACGAAAAGAGTGATAGAGACTTAGAAAATTAAAAAACAGACCTAGAAAAATTAAGACATTCCCCAAAAATTCCAAACGATGCCAGATGTCCGCTTTCGGAGCTGTTTCGAAAATACAGTAATGTCTCTCGAATTGACGCGCGGATTGTCCACGAAAATGGGCAATTTTTCGACGATTATTGGACAATTATTCGAGGCTTGCGGTTTATTTTTCTAGTTGCAAAATTGTCGACAATCGTAAAAACGAGCAGCAAGGCTCGAATAATCGTACCCGCTCTTCCCATATTGTCCAATTTCGTGCGCAATCTGAGCGTCAATTCGAGAAACATTACTGTATACAGTAATGTCTCCCTTACTGACGCTCAGATTGTCCACTAAAATAGTACACGGTCGCTAAAAAACTTTCCTGGTCGACTGGAATATTTTCTTGGCGACACGAAGAAAAAAAAGAAGAAGTCAATGAATCTGTATCCTTAGAGTATACGTCCGATACCGTCCTGCCAGCAGGGGGAGGGATCTCTTATGGACACGCATAATTTTCCATTGACTCCCTCGCCGATAAAACTGTCGCTATCTATTAATAAGCCTGGCGTGTCGCAGATAAAAAACCGGGCCGGCGGAATGCTTATTATTCGCTTCTTTATCTTGGGGAAGGTCAATGCACGGCCTTGTTCATTCTCAAGTTTTCCTCTTATCTGTCGCTTTGCGTCGGCCGAGCCCCGATACTCGTCGATCGTCGAGATCGTCTCGCGTCTATTTCCCGCCGACAATCCCCCCCCCCCCAAAAAAAAGGTATCAAAAAAGCAAGGCACACTGCAATTATCTTACAAGCTCTCCGACTTGCTCGTTCACATATTAAAAGCGAAGTGATTCCATGCGAAACGTTTATACGCACCGTACAGGATATTTTAATCCCCCGAGGGCGTTTTAATCTCGTTTACGCTTCACTATATTTCGAGTTACATGCAAATTTACATTATTGTCGATAAACCGGCGCTCGACCGTATCGCGAGCAACGCGTTAGAAACGCGGAGTTCTCCAGATGTCACGCGCAGTTTAAATCCGCGAATGATGCACGGCGAAGCGAAGGATCGAGTTGAAAATGCGACAGAGCGATCGTACGACGAGAAAGTCTAATTCGAGCAGAGCCCGGAGCGCAGCTGAAACGGTCGTCGGAACGTGGGTGAAAACGGCGAACGCAACAGACCGATCGAATTGTTCACGCCCGAGCGACGCTCGTAGCCCTCGCCGGGCGGTCACGAACGACGTCACGGGGCAACGGAGCGCCGGGATTGGTCCGCGGCAAGCCGAAACGTCACGGTCACGTCGGTGGGGCTAGAGGCTGGGCGGTGGGGGGTCCCGCGCGGAGGGGGGAGCGGCGGTGTGCTATTTCCATCGGCGCGCCACCGCTGGCCCAGATTCGATGCGACCGTCGCGAAGTGTAGGTGACACCCGACTTTGCTCGCGAGTTCACTCGGGCCTCCCGGCTCCTCGTCCATTCTCATCGAGCATCCGTGACAAGTGCGGCACAGTTACCGTCGATCGCCACGCGCCCGTGCAGATCCAGAGCCGCCACAGCAGCCGCCGATGAAAGTCCAGTGCGCGTGCTGTTCGGAAATCGACGCCGCCGCTCGGAAGTCTCCCGCGAAACTCGTCGACGCCTGTGGCCGGTGTATCGCATTTCGCGCCGCTCTCTGCACGACCTGGCGGAACCACGCGCGCTAGCGCGACCCCGCTGACACGAGAGATCTCAGGCCGAGTGTGTCGGAAGTGCCTCGTACGATGTGACTTCCCAAGTGTAGTTCAACACGTAGTTCTACGGACATCAACGACCGTGTGACAAGAGAGTTTACGTCGCTACTCCCGCGCGATCCCTGCGCCGCCCTCTCGGCCGTTTTACGCGCTGCGATCGTCGTCTCCACGCTTCGAGAGCACGCGGGACGCGACAGCGTCGCGAGCACACGACGTTCTCTGGCTGCCGCCTCGTCAAATGACCTCAAGGTACGTGTTCGGCTCGGTCTAGCCTGGCCCGAGCATTTATATAGGAAGCATTGTACACGAGATATAGCGTTATACATAGATAGATCATTATACTCGTACGTTAGATTGTCACTATTATTCGAGCAGTTTTTCTTTCGTTCATCCTCGGTTCTGCCATCGAAACTAGTTGCGTTCAAGGGCATATTCTCGTCGTACATATATGTATATATATACTCCGAATTGGAATAATTCCTCGCGGATTTTCTGGAAAACCGAGGAAGCGTATACAGAACGAAATACGGAAGGATTTCGAACGGCACCGCGAAGGCTTCGATCAACTCTTTCCGATGTTTAATATGTGCGTCGTACGCCATTGTATAACACTTTATTTACCGGAAGCCTATTATTAGGCTTTCCAATGACCGAACTGTATATCTAAGAGAAGCTCAATAATTTCCTCTGAAATAATAACACGAAAAAGCCTTGAAAATGTATATGTATCTGAATATATATATGTATATGTATAATCTGAATAATTTCACGGATCGTGTCGTAGTTTCTGGACGATTTCTTCAGAAATTCCGAAGCCCGTTGATCTTCGTTCCGTAAAGTAACAAGTGGAAAACTTGTCGGCGGACGGAAACGTTGATGCGTTTCACGCTTGTGTTTATGAACAATTTGATCTGCGACGACCTTTGCGTGACTTACAATACGATGATAATGTCAAGTGCAAGTAATGCGATTTGAATAACATCGACGTAACAGAAAGTCGTAAAAATAAGAGAAAAAGCAGAGACGTATACTTTTACTATCACTTTGTCATTTTCGTCGGCGGGGTTACACACGTTTGTGTAACGTGTGTAACGTGTGTAACGGCGTATCTAGACGCGAGAAAATATTCGCGGACAGAGTGGTCGCGCGGAAAACAAGCTAAGTCTATTTTCGGCCGTCGAAACATTCGAAAACAAGGGTTCGGCTTGTTCGAGCGAGTTGCTGGAACGACGTTTAACCCTTTCGATACAAGCGCCGGATATATCCGGCATCCATTTGGTCACCTGTGTGGCCGAGCGACGAGGGGTTCCCGAGATCATTTGAAGCAACTTTTTCCTCGGCGAAAATATTCTACGAGGCTTCGTTTACGAGTTATCGACGAAAAACAGTGACCAATGAGAGGCGAGCTAGATTGGCGCGAGGCGGCCGAGCCACGAGCGCGCGAAGCCCAGATCCGCTGATTGGCTCGGCCGCCTTGCGCCAACCGAGCTCGTCTTTGATTGGTCAGTGTTTTTCGTTGATAACTCGTGAACGAAGCATCGTAGAACATTTTCGCTAAGGAAAAAGTTGCTACAAATGACCTCAGGAATTACATTTCCCACGTTTCCCAGAAATACCGTAATTTTGGGACACCCTGTTATACCAGCATCCATCCGATGATCGGTATGGCATTCATGCGAGCCATATTTCTGACATATTAGAAATTATTCTAATAAAGTCTTTTCTTACAAGGATTCCGAAAAAAAACAGCTGTAGGTATAATCATCGTTTGATCTGAATTGATTTACAAAATTCGAGGTTACAATTTTCTTCGAAACTTGTTCATAGATTTGAACGTACTGTAGGCCCTTTACAGAATGTTTACAGGAAACAAAAGATTTAGAAACGGATTAAGCACAGTTATTACTTGAGAAAATGCTATGTGCGCATTTTCGGCGCGGCACCCCGTACAGTTGGAGCGTCACGGCTGACGGCGCGCTCGTACCGAAAGGGTTAAGGCAATTTAGCGTTTAACGTGCCGCTATTAAACCGGAGGAGGGACTCTCTGTTCGAAAGATTGTACCACGCCGGTTACAACAGCCGCCGCTCCTGGCCGCGTTCCGTCACGTGGCCGAATTTCCGCCGATTACACGCTCGATAGCTCATTCAAGCCTCGCCTCGCCTCGGAGCCGAACAGGTCGCGCGGATTCCTTGGCATTGCGAGCCGCTTCGGCGCGAGCCTCTGCCAGCTTAGCGATGATTAAATCGTGTAAACGAAAACCTGTTACGACACGGCGCCCGCGGCTTTTCTTCCGGCGGGCCGCGGCGACGCTTTTTCGAGCGCGCTTCGATCGTCTCTCTCGCCCAATATCGGCGAGCATCGCGTCCCGACGAAGATCAGGATTTTTCTTCCCCGTTGTCTCTCGGCTTTGTCCGACTGGGCGCGAAGTTCGTCGCGACGGAGCGCGTCGACCAAAAAGAAAAATGTAAACAGCCGCGCGAATGGAATGCACTATTGTGCCCGGTTCCGCCGCCGACGTTCCTCTTCTGTTGTCGCTTTTTCAACCGCTTTCCCTCGCCAAACTGGCATGAATTGCTCCGAGCGGGAAATAAAAAGGTGTGCGCGTCGGACGCGCGCGCGCGCGCGGAAAGTGTGCGCTCGTCTGCGCCGTCTCTTTCGAATCGTTCCGCTCGAGCGAGACGAAACATTGTATTTAGATTACCGTCGGGTTCTCGTCGCGTGCCATGGAATTTAATCCGCTCGACGGTACGCGCCGGGGCTGGGCTGCCATCGAATCGGGAACGTAATCCTAATTCGACGGGACTCGTTTGGTAGAATTCGTTCGCGAATTATGTTGTTTGCCGCGCGGACCGTGAAATTGCGGATCACGTTCAATTTCATAGATTAATTGCATCGAAATAATTCCCGGGCCTGTTCTCGACGTGCTCCCCCCTCCCGCCTCGACAACCCGTATGCGGCGGTTCTAAAACCGCCGCCGTTGCGGCGTAGTAAGGCGTGCGTGATCGATCGACCGATTTTTCTATCCGGCCGGCTCGTTATTGCTAAATGCGGAGCCGCGGCACGTGGGAGGATACGTGTGCGTCCGCGCGACGCTGTCGATCCGCCGTTCGTCGGACCATCGGTTACGAATTCGTACAGTGGTCCCGCGAACTTTTTAATCGGCCCCCATTTTCAACTATTCTCGTCGACGACTCGTTCTCTCCAGGCACATTGAACTTACGCGTGACCCGCGAACACGTCGGAACTTGAGCAACGCGGACGCGTGAACGTCTCTTTGTTAATTGGGTTGTCGCTGGATCCTTGTCTAGAAACTACTCGGCTCCCCCAATTATGCTTCGCACGGATCCGTTGAACCTTCAGGCTGCGACTTTCCCCGCGACTGCTGTGATTTGTATCAATTTTTTCAGATTTATATTAATTTTTCTAGAAATTGTGTTGAATATTATGCAGAAATTGTATTAAATATTATCCAAAAATGATATTGAATATTGTCCAAAAAGTATACTGAATATTATTCAGAAATGACATTGAATATTATCCAGAAATTATATTAAATAGTATCCAAAAATTATATTAAATATTATCCAGAAATGACATTGAATATTATCCAGAAATTATAAATATTATCCAGAAACTATATTAAATATTATCCAGAAACTATATTAAATATTATCCACAAATTATATTTAAATATTATTGAAAATTTATTTTAAATATTATTAAAAAATGATATTGAATATTATCGAGAAATGATATTGAATATTATCCAGAAATGATATTGAATATTATCCAGAAATGATATTGGATATTATCCAGAAATTATATTAAATATTATCCAGAAATTATATTAAATATTATCCAAAAATAATATTAAATAGTATTCAAAAATTATTGGGATTATGGAATGAAAATGAATATGATTCTAATTCTTTGCTTAAAAGGACTTTATTTTATTCCTTTATTGAGAGAAGGTATATGGGCGAAAACGATCGAGCGACCAAACTCTACCGAGAGTCCGGTAAGAAAAAACGCTTCTTTTATACCCTTTTTGGGTTCGTCTTATCCACCAATCAGAGACGTTTTATTTGTCGCGTTTCACATTGTATACGTGACGCTGGGACCCCTAAACAGTCAGGGTACGATGTATATCTAATGGTACCGGTGATGATGTATCGCGGTATCTACTATATACAGTTTACATCACCGTCGTTGCCCGCTGACGGAACCGGCGAAAATGTAAACCGATATCTTAGTATCTTAGTACTAAGTAAACTATAGATTAATTTTTGTTCGAGGCTGAAATTTCAACAAAAATATTATTAAATAGTATTCAAAAATAATATTAAATAGTATCCAAAAATAATACTAAATAGTATCCAAAAATAATATTAAATAGTATCCAAAAATAATATTAAATAGTATCCAAAAATAATATTAAATAGTATCCAAAAATAATATTAAATAGTATCCAAAAATAATATTAAATAGTATCCAAAAATAATATTAAATAGTATCCAAAAATAATATTAAATAGTATCCAAAAATAATATTAAATAGTATCCAAAAATAATATTAAATAGTATCCAAAAATAATATTAAATAGTATCCAAAAATAATATTAAATAGTATCCAAAAATAATATTAAATAGTATCCAAAAATAATATTAAATAGTATCCAAAAATAATATTAAATAGTATCCAAAAATAATATTAAATAGTATCCAAAAATAATATTAAATAGTATCCAAAAATAATATTAAATAGTATCCAAAAATAATATTAAATAGTATCCAAAAATAATATTAAATAGTATCCAAAAATAATATTAAATAGTATCCAAAAATAATATTAAATAGTATCCAAAAATAATATTAAATAGTATCCAAAAATAATATTAAATAGTATCCAAAAATAATATTAAATAGTATCCAAAAATAATATTAAATAGTATCCAAAAATAATATTAAATAGTATCCAAAAATAATATTAAATAGTATCCAAAAATAATATTAAATAGTATCCAAAAATAATATTAAATAGTATCCAAAAATAATATTAAATAGTATCCAAAAATAATATTAAATATCTCAGCAGCCCGTCGATGATCGACTATCAGGGTATCTTCAACCCCTAAAAAGGACCATACCCCGAGACACAAAAGCTTCCCCCAAGCTTCTTCGCGACTCCTCCAGCGTTCTTTCCGTCCCAAACCAAAAATAATCCGCGCGAGAAAATAATTCGTGCCGGT